GTATTTACTCTGGTTTTGAAGTTCACTGGATAAACCGGACACGCTCGCAGACTGACCACACGACCTGCTCTCCCTACGGTTAATTAATTAAACCAAACAGCAATACAGGCTGTCCTCGCATCCCGGGGGGCCGCGCTGCAGCGGGGAGTGAAGAGGTGCAAGTTGACAGCAAGGGGGGCTAACTCGCTCCAAGGAGGCGCGCGCTTCTCTCCCACCTCCAAGGAGCCAGCCTGGACGCGCACCGGGGCTGGACTCACCAGAGTAAAGGTAACGTTGGCAAAATAGCTCAGAGGAAGTGACGAACGCAGACCCGCTGCAAGCCGGCTTCGGCGTCCCAGAAGCTGCGTTCAGATCAACTCAGCTTCCAGCCCTGCTCTAACTTGCTGTTAAAAAGCAGATACAGCCAAATACCCACTTTTACACGTTACGCTAAGGCGGGGGTAAGGGGGAGCAACAGGGCAGGTACTTGTTGAAAGCAAAGTTTTGACCGAATTCAATGCAGATACTTCAAAATGCGGGAACACTATATTTATTAGGTCAATATTTCATTTTAGCAATACAGTTACAGAATATCACAATGCTGGTTACAAACATAGTATGGTTTGATGGTTACAAATAATGTCGGGCACTGCAGTCTGTGAGAAGTAGGATACGAAACGTTAGTCTTGACACGACAAGTAGGGTGGTCTTCAAAGGCTAGTAATGATCAAGATACTCTCGTATAAATGAATGTGGCACTACAGGTAGAGATTCTGGTTTAGAGGTGGTTTTCGTATAAGTAGTTCGATTCATACAGTTATACAGTTCAAGCAACATCTTTTTAAAATGCTATTAAATTAAAATCCCCTGTAGTTCGATAAAGTATAAAAATAGTACTGAACCTGGTAATATTCAATAAAATGTAGAGTTCATTCACATCATTAAGTAGTAAAGAAATTGTAAAGTTGTAGTTACCATGGCAACATCGCTTCCCATAAAGGAATATACATAAAAGAAAAAAAAGTTACACATATGGTACCTGCGACAATTATTTAGCGATCCAACACTGAACTTGTGCACCACAAACCAAGTTTCTAAATATCTCTATATATTTATATAGTATATATCTTTTTCATCTTAAAATTTACTTTTGAAAAAAAAAAATGTGCACTTCAACAAACCCACTAAGGCCACTCATGCTATAGATACCTAGGATTGCAATGAAGTATCGTTGAACAAGACCCTAGAGCACGCACCTTTGTATCACCGAAGGGAAACCTGTTTCACTGCCTAAAACATTCCTGAGATTTAGGGACAAAAGCATTACCAGTGCCGCCAATTCCGCGTGTGTGGTTTAGTTTATTTCTGGGTAAAGGAAACTTCTTCCCCGCTTCTCACAGAAATCCCCGCAAGGCCAAGAAACACAACGTGCAACAGGCCAGTCGTGTCAAACGTGGAAACACCCACGACGAAGAGTCAGATCTGCAACTAACGTGTGGCCGGTAATTTTCTTATTATAAAACATAAGGACAAAAGGGAAACGATGACCTTTCGACAAAAGAGGGTTTCTGCACAGGCAGCAGCGGGAGGGATCTCCGTTTAGAGACCGGTAACGCCAACATCTCCCCCACGCTATGTGCTGCTAGCCTGCGAAGTCAAATCCGATCCATATCAATCACGTACAGTTTTTGTCAATAGCTTCAACCGTGTTCTAGGCACGCTGCGCTTTCCTTTTTGTACTCTACCAATACGTAGGACTATAAAAAGGAAATCGAGTTGAATGTGCGTTTTTCTGTACCATGAGAAGCAGCACAATGGCACCTTCAGCAAATTTCAGACTGCAGCACATTTAAAGAAAAACTTCATTTTCAAAGTTACAAAAGAACATCGTTGTCCTAATAAGTTAGAATGCAACAACAAAAACCCTTCAAAATTATTTAACAAAACCTGTGTGCAAAAAGAGAAAAGTCTTAAACGATAGGTATTGACGCAGACTAGAGAGTGCACGTGAAGACCGGGATACCGAGGCACGCTTACTGACTGTAATTAATACCACGCTATAGAAGTGACCGAACAACGGCTTGGGGCCAAATAGTCACTAGTTGTTTTACTTCAAGCAGGCGAGGGATACATTTATTTTCAAACGTCCTTCTGCAGCTTTCCCCTTCCCCTTTTGTCAGCTCTTAAAACTCTTTGTGTACTTTTCCCCTCCCGCAACAAGTCATCCAGCACAGCCCCAGCCACGGAGGAATCCCGACATCACCTTCCTCCCTCTCTTTACGAACCGCAGCGTTCGCATAGAATAGGACGTACAAATTACTGATTCAAACAACATTACGCTGAAAATAAAATAGTAAGGGTTTAATTTAAACAATAGTTAAAGTAATCTTCCTTAAGGTGACACCGGTCCTCACCACTTGCATCTAATTACTCTGGCGTGATTAAGTTACTTACCTTCCAGAAAAACTGGGAAGATGCATTTCACTGGGTTTCCACTCACAGGTCTCCCCTTTTAACGCCAGCACCAAACAGCACCCGCTCCGCTAGCGGTAGGTGCGCTGTGCGTCTATAAAATGCCAGTAATTAACTAACTTTATCTAGTGTTTCATAGTTGGCTACTTGAGTCGCAGGGGGCACGAGCTCTCTCAACGTGCGCAGCTGAAGTACAGCCCCCGTCGCCAGTTCATTCAGACGCGTGCGGAAAACCTGCTCGGGGGGGTACGACAGGCGGGGGATCCCCCAGCTCTGCCTCTGAGGGGAGAGAGGGAGGTGCAGGGTTCGCGTTGGCGAGTTCCGCACTGGAAAACCGCACAGTATGGAGAAGGTAGGGGATTACACCCTCTGCTCCTTCAGCTCTGCCTGGCGCAGAAGTCACAAAACGCTGAAGTGATACTACAAGAGCTCCTCCAGCCGCATTGGCATGGAGGGACAAGTCCTTTACCTCCCTCTGAAGTCATCCGATTGGAGTCCTACCTTCTCAAAAATACCAAACTGTAACAGCAGAGACAGTAACGGCACATCACGACTAACACCACAACGTTACAAATGGTCTCCAGGTGCCAATACAGACATCTTCTGAGAACCCAATTCAGGAGACAGAGAACCAAGAACTAGAAAGGTCGGTTTGATGTTATTACATGGAGAGCAAGTATTACACCTGCAGCAAGGAGAGCAGTAGGTGAAGGTTCCAAGCTACGGCACGCAGAGCGGGCAACAGAGCGTTTTGTAGGCAGCTGCCAAGCTGTTCTGCAAACCTGCGCTTTAACAACTTTAGCTATCAGCCACAGCCACCTTTCTCCGGAATTTACGCGCCTTGGCATGACTGGAGTTGCGGAGACGCTACAATGAGAAGTTCAACCCAAGAGTCAACTTCTCTTGAAGTTGACTGAATTAATTCAGTCAACTTGTCACATGAAAAGCGTGCTAGCAGTCCTACAAGGATCACTGCAGCTACTCCTGGCCAAGTCACGTTTCTTGGCCAGTCTGTTATCAGAGAGAATTCTGGGTGACTTTTAGGACCTTAATTCCTTCCAGACAAGCCAATGCACTGAAGTACGTAACGTGCTGGTGAAGGAGCTTCAGGAAAGAAAGCAAAGCGCATCCACCCAGCAAGATCTGAGCATAAAGCTACCGATTAAACCAACTGAACTAGTGCATTTGGTTATCGGATAGAAGCGTGACACCTCCCTAACCTGCCCCACGTTGAAGCTCTCCTGGTTGCCCTAACTTGAAGGCAAACCATGAAACACACGGACAAACCAGAGCTGAAGTAACAGCAGTGGTTCATGTAGACCACTTTCACTGGTATCAGTCAAACAACGCTCCTCGTCCCAAACACAAAACCTCGAGATCTTTGAGATTCCTTAGTCAAAAGCTGGAAATGGAGACCCGAGAATGGAAACCCTGAGCAAATAAATGGTCTCCAGATAACGTACGTGTAAATCCATGTACCCAGTTTGAAGCTTTTGAACACCTCTGCAGTACAGAAATTACACAGCTTCTTTAGGACAATTTTAAGCACACCTTCCCTGCCAAGTTCTGACACTAGTATTACACACTTCATTTAATTTTAAATAGTTTTAATAGAACTTAAGAATTCATAAGAACTTTACAATTCATCACTGCCCTGCTGTATGGACATTCAGGGATAAAAACGTTTTGCCTCATAGATAGCTGAATTTGTTTGTAGTACCTAAAGCAGTCATAAACAAAAACTGCTATAAATAAAATTATGCGTGGATTTAAAATCTGATTTAAGTTGGATTTTCAATGAACAGCCATTGAGGACATACTGCAGTCTGTGTCTTAACACCACTGGGGTTTTTCATGCAAATACTTCTTTTCACGTCAGTGAAGATATTCCAAGTATGCAATCATTAAATCTGCATTCACTAATTACATAACTGCATTTTAAAAGTTGGTATTATTCAGCCTTTCCCCCCCAAACATACTTGAAGGCACCAGTATATGAACTATTGGCCTGCAAAATTTCAGTTCTTCGAAGAGCCATTAAGCTCAAAGTAGCGTCTGAAGCTTCTGTTTCTCCTCTGCACTCTGTCTTGAGGACCAACAAGCAGCTTTCCCTGTCCCAAACTTCGAGAACAAATTAAAAGCCAGACCCCAAACACAACATCCAGCCCAAGTCCGGCAGGAACCGCGCGTGCTGAGCCTCGGCTTGGACTGACCTTCCAGGGCCAAGTTACAAACCCCTGAAAATAGGGGGGGAAAGGGAGAAAACCCCAAACCGACAGAATCCTAACTACAGGAGCACCGTTTGTGCCGCTGTAAGAAGAACTGAGGTAACAGCAATGAGTCGTTCCTGGTTTTCTATGTTACACAGACTTTCAAATGAGTATTACCTCAACATTAAAGAGCAAAACCAAAACCCAAACCAAAAAACCACACAACCAAGCAGCCCCCCAACAGAAGAAAAATTAAGACAAGCTAGTGAGATAGGCATTATTAAAGGATCTTTACAGCTGACATCTGCTTTTTAAATTAATATAAAAGGAATCAGTTTCTGGTTGTACTATTGTTTAATGTAGAAATGAAGCATCACAAAAAAGACCTGTTGTGCTTTTTGGCATTTTCCGCTGACCCCTGCAAACTATACAAGAAGCTATGTTCTCCAGAAACAGAAAATTGAACTGGATTGTAATACAAAACTATTAACTGGTATAAACAAGTTACTGCCTCCGTTATTAGAGTAAGCCCATTCAAAAAGGAAAAAAAAAAAAAAAGATGGCTGCAGCAAATAGTCAAGCGTTTCTAGTTTTTGCTTGTGGCATTGACATTAATACTCGTATAAGCTTACTAGGTAAAGACATGCCATCGCAACCGCTAAAGAACGTTCACTTCCTAGTTTTGTATCTATTACATGAATATAATTTTGCACTGATCATACATCTAAATGAAATAATTCTACTGTAAAAGTGAATGCAGGGGCAGAAATATTAAATTAAAGCCACTGGTCCAAAAGCTGTTTCTAGCAGGCTGGTCCACTTTTGATTTTCCTGGTCCTGTTCAGAAGATTAGCACTCTCGGTTGGTACCAAAGGAAGCTAAGATTGCTGGTCTACTGGATCTCCTATCGCCTACAGATGAACACTGGTCCAGTTCAGGATATTAAAAACAACATACGGTGGTTGCTGGCTTACAACCTATCGTGGTTCGCAAGGAGTATGTTGCTCTCCAAAGCGGTTCTTTGCCGCTTTTCTTCATAAGGCAGCGGCCAAGGCTAGGGCGTTCTCCCTTTTCTTGATAGCTACGATTAACTTTGCTACAATGCATATGGTAGAAAGACCTTTCTGGTGTAACTTCTTACAGTACAGCATTTATTCTTTCTATGTATCAGAAGAAAGCTCTTGATGAAACCTTCCATTCATAATAAGAATGCAACTCTTTTGAACTCAAACAGTTTTATTTAATGTTTTCTTGCAGACTTTCTGCAAAGTAGCTTCTTTTGAAAGAAGAGAGAAAGAAGGGGTTTTCGGGAATACCAAGTTAAAAATGTGAGCCGAACTAAACATGCCATACACATGCTGATAAGAATTTAACACACATTCATCCGTATGGACACTCTTCAGTAGACTGGACCAGTGTTTCAATGCAAATTCCAGCCCCCAGAGAACTACATGGTTTAGATTTCACAGTATGACTTTTCCCCCTGTAACCTGGGGGAAAAAACCTTAACTGGTTAATTGACCAAGTTCTTAGCTACTCTGTCCATCAACGTTCTGAGACATCAGAAAAGACTGGACCACTTCTTCAGTGGATTGAGGGCTGGTGCTTACGTCCTCCAGCGCATCTGTAACTGAGAACTGCCGATCCCGCAACCGGTTCCAATTGGCCAAAATATTGTGGTATTCAAAAACTTTCTCGTAATTGCCAATGGAATTGTACAGTTTAATGAGACCTCTGTAATCGTATTCAAGTCCACTGTATCCTTCACCAAAAAGCTTCTTTCCTAAAGAAATCCAAAAGAAAAACCCATTTTAAAAGGTAATCCAGCCATACGTTGCGCCTTATTCCTCATGTCATTTTTACCAACAACGTGAACCTTTTCGTTACGGCAAATCATCACGTTTTTGTTACGGTAAATCAAGAGCACAAGCAACATGCAAGCTTCCTGGATGATGGGTTGAATTCTATCCACCTTTTCCTTTAAGGGTATTGTAACTCGTCCTCAGGGACTCTACAGTCAGATCATTAACTGTACTATAGCTTTGCATGCATAAAAATCCACCATTCGTGTGAAGGCGGCAGTCATTTTGTGTCCCGATTTCACTCCAAATTCAATTTAAACAGTGAAGTTGTTTTTCAGTTTTCTACTTTAAAATCTCCAATTTTTCTGTAACGCACTGTACGTGGTAACTGTCTGAAGTAAGACTGTCTGTCTCAAAATTGAGCTACAGCATGGCCCAAAGATGCATTTGATTCAGAATTCTAAGTTCACTGCAAATGACAATGGGCAAGAAAAACATTCAATGAGAGCATAGTTAGGCTGACAGGCACAATAGTTTTCCATTTCTTTCAAAATTTAACTACATTCTGCACTTAAGTTCTAGCCACAACTCCAAAATGTAGTCTGAAGACCAACACCCAAGCTTTTGATCAGTCAGTGTCCAGATGCTTTCAAGAGTGAATTCGGAGGGAGCACTGACAATACTACAAGTCCAGAGTTCAGTCCCTGGGAGAACATTCGAGAAGAAGCATTATATTTAGATTGAGAACACATACAAAATAAGCATCTTGCATTTCATTAAGTTCTTCGCTAAAAGCTTTAACATGCTTTTAAATAATGTGTCCTGTAGTACTAAAACTGCTATGAAGTCACAGGTCGTAAGAATCACCTACCGATTGCTATGGATCTCAAATACAGCTTTTCAGCATTTTCATATTGATTCATGTCATAGTTATAGAGAGAAGCTAGGTGACCGACTGACAGGGCAACTTCATAATCTTCTTGACCCAGAAGCTGCTCCTTAATCTGAATTGCCTTGATGTGCATTTCTTCTGCTTCCTATGAGGATCAAATTCACATAGGTCAGTCAGACACCGCTCACCATGCCGTCAAAAGAGAAGAAAAAGGAAGGTTTGAAGAAACATAACTATGTAGTGGCTAAACAGTCTGTAGTATTTTATAAGAGGCAAAAAGTAAGCAAGCCAAAACCAAATCACGTTCTCCAAATTCTTAGTTAAGCGGATCAGCAAATAATATCACTTTTTCTGTCATCAAAATCGCTGTCACCCTGTCTCTGAAGGCATCGTGCATCTTAACAGAGTATTTTTGCACAAAGCTTTGGAGAGATGAATTATAAAGCGCAAGTTTTCCAACCCTGAAACTACCAACTGAAGTTATGAATTGTGGACATTGAAAACCATCATTTGTTGTGACAGATTTACAGAGGTCTTGCAGATTTTAAGTCAAGAGCTTTACATCAGTATAATCTTACCTTAAACTTTCTCATGGACTGATACAGTCTTCCAAGGTTGCCATAGTGTTTTGCTGTTTGTACATTAAACTCCCCGAAGGCTTTTTTAGCTAACTGGAGTGAGGACAGATGTAAGTCGTGAGCTTCTTGAAGTAACCTCTGCTCAGTTTCCTTGTTGTGACAGTCTATTGCAATCTCCTCCAGGATAAGTGCTGAGTACAGGAGAGAAAACACACAACATTACTGTGTTCCAAACACAAAGAGATGTTAGCTGTAGGGGGCGGAAAGCCGTCTACCCAAGATATCTTGGGAGACATCTAATCAGGCGTTGTGTTTATTACAAACTGTTTTCAAACAGGTATGACCAGATATCAAGCTCCCAACATATATGTTTATAGTCTGTATTTTTACTTCAACCCCCCCCCCCCCACCCCCCCAAAAAAAAAAGAGTCTTCCAGCTAAGTTTTAACAGAGAACATTTTGGCCGAGAACGCTGAGGACCACAAAGAATATTCTGGAGCAGCCTCTGTTTGAACATTGCCTCCATTTACATTGCCTATAAACAGATCCGAATGGCTGGTTTCAAACCGTCCCAGTAATGCAGTTAAGGGTTCTACCTTTAACTCTCTTTGAAGATGCCAAGAGAAGATGGTCTTCTGGGAGAATGTGAGTTATAATGCCAATAGCACGTTCAGCATGGAATCTGAAAGAGTTTAAATAAAGAATTCAAGATGCATATATTTAAGTTAGCAGCTGACTGATAAAATATTAGAAACATTAATGCAGTTAAATTAGAAACATTGATGTATTTAAATTCTAACTGGAAAGTCTGTAGCATTTAAGAACATTTTTCTCCATTTACGGTACTAAATTTGCTGCCAGTACCTCAAACAATTGTACTCACAGTGCATTGTCGAATTTTCCAGAGCTATACTGGTGAACATACGAAGAGTAAGCCAAGTCTTCGTGCGCTGTAGCTACATGTATGTTTTTACCTCCAAATACTGACTGCCGGATATCAAGAGCTGTCTGAAAGAGTTACAAGAATACCACTTCATCGGTTAATACAGGAAAAAAAACCCTAATGAATCTCTCTCACTGTTAAAAAGGGGCGGGGGGGGGAAGTAAATCTACTGGCTCTGAAATCCTGTAGCCTGTACCTACGTACTTCAGGCAGTAAATATATAAAAGCGACTTAAGAGTCAGGGGGGGAAAAAGCCAAACCCCATGGCAGGGGGTGGGTTTTGTTTTGTTTTAAAAGAACAAGCGTTGCAGTAATTAAATCAACTACTATCTCTCTCTACGACTTAACTGTATGTGAGTTTCAGTAGAAACATTTGAGAGATTATGAATATCAAGAGAAACTGAAGACAGGCATTCAGCCCTGCTGCGTACCTGATAGATTGCAACAGATTGGCATATATTGTCTACGTTGAGCAAGTAAAATCCATAGTCTAGTAGCGTATCAGAATATTTGGGGTGCTTGGCTCCGAAATGCTCCCTGTAGAAACATACTTATATTACAAATTGAGGCAAGTTAAGCGTAATTTTAAAAGGGTTTTTTTTGGAATGCTGCTTACCGGGCAAGGTATACTGCATGTTTTATCAGCTGTTCAGCCTTCTTAAATTCACGTTTTACAACACAAGCCTAAACAGGTTGAAATGAAGCATGTGAAAAGGCGTATACTCAGAACTCATCTCCTCCAGATACTGGCCCAATTGCTAACTACTATTTTTAATTTCAAAATATCATCGTGGTTACTAAAGGACTTTCCAGTTATTTAAGAAAAGGTTCACAGATAACATTAATAAACTTGTATTTTGTTCTGCCATAAATGCCTAAAGGGCTAGGACTGCACCTAGTCTAGAGCAGAGAGGGAACAGACCTCCTTTTTATGGAACGCTCTCGGGTTAACTTTGTCACGATGTTCGTTTGAACAGCTGTAACTCAGTTTCAGGAAGTAGGAAAAACCAAAACCCCCACAGGTCCGAGACTGAGCTGGACCGATTCAACACAAATAACAAGCCATAAGGCTCACAAAACGGACCTGGTTACCCAAGTATTCTGGAGGTACTGCCTATCCTCACCCATTCTGGGTAGTAATTCAGTTACAAAAGAAACGTGGAAGATTTTAAATTCACCTTTGAAGCTTGTCGTAAAACATCCACTACTACTTTTACAGGCAGGCCAACTGTGATCTCCTTCATAGCTTCTATGCACCATTTATAAGCCTGTTGAACAAAGAGTTACCAACATAATGAAGCTGGAACTTCACTACGTTGCAACGTTAAGAAAAATAGTACTTGGCTCTGAAAAATAAACTGGTCATTTACATTACAAAATTTAAAAAAAAATCTGTTTAATTGCTTATTTGTAATGAAACTTGTTCAGCTAAGTCTTAAAGGACTTAGGCTTAAAAAGCCCTCTTAAGGTAAATACTGAACGTGTAAGTAAGTATTTTATACTAGCCTAAGTTATGTATTATTACAATGACTGTATTATCTTTTACAGACAAAAAAAGGTATTTTATAATCTTTAAGTGATCCTCACAATTGCTATTGTGTAGGACAGCTTCCTGGTCAGCGTACCTTGGAGCTAAAGGAAAAACGCAGTTTAAACAGCAGTTACACTTAAGTTACAGGTTTTTATAAAAACAGGTGCAAAGAATTGTTACCCCTGTTCTGCTATTCACGTTTACCTATTAAAATAAGCTTATTGTAATATTTCATTTACAGACCGGTAGTATGTGTCGGTTATCTGTCACACGTCATTTCTTAACGTTAAAGTACCGTTAAAAGCTTGTAGACGAACCAGAACAATACATAGAAAAGTCGATAAATCAAGCATTCCTCTGGTACTGTCACACAGGTACCAAGAGAGATCAGGAGCTCCAGCTAGAAAGATAACGTGACTAATGAGCCAGTCATGGAACGTCCTAGCAGATTTCATATCCCGTTTTCTGAAGAAAAACAAAACCAAAATCCCACTCACCTCATCATAGTGGCTCTTGGCGAAGAGCAGAGCACACAGCTCCCCATAGAGTGCCGCTTTGTTTGCTTGCTGACCATGTTTTGCAAGTTTGTCCATGTAGGACTGAGCGAGTTTGAACGTTTCTTCTCCCAAGTGGTATTTACAGTTACCGTTTCGAACATGCAGCAACCTTAGGAAGAGGTAAAGAGATCGTCTAAACAGCGTCTGAATAAGCCATTTCAATATACAGTAGTACCGTGGATCTACAATTTGGTATTATACTTACAATGGAACCGGGCTGTCATCCCAACAAAACTGCACTGTGAATTCAGTAATACAGGAGAACTATTTATAGAATATTGTTTCAGTACACCATGCTTTGTCTCTTGCGTGGCAAGGGTTTTTATCGTTGGAGAGGACAAGTGGTTTTACATATTGATGCAGTTTTACATATCCAATGTTTGAACCACTTTGGTGTGGTGGCTTTGTTTTATCTTTCATAAAATCCATTCTTCTCAACGCTGATAAAATTCCATTTCCAAACCCCTGTAATATACAGTATTAAATCCCTTCTACCTCCTTTCCAAAGCATAGTAAACTGAAACAGACACTGAATAAGTACAGACATAGCTAGTTTTCATGCATCTCTGCACTTTTTCCTCAAACCTTAAGTAGCACAGTGCTTCACAAGGGGGCAATTTTGGGGTTGGGGGGGGCATGGTGTGTGTGTCTTCACAAGAGACTCAATCCCATCCACTCAACATGATAGCCAGCACTGACTTAGCGCCACCAGAAAAGGCCACTTTGCTGACCCAGTTCACAACAACTCTAAAAAACCTCTCCCCCTGCCTTGCCCCATCTCCCAACCCACTGCCTTTCCATCTGAAGGATTAACAGAAGCTTCATGAGACGACAGCCAAATGCAGACAATAAAACACAGCGCTATTGAAACGTACTCTTGTTTCTCTAGAAAAGTAACAATTTCAGCTCCTAGCATCTATTTAAAACAGAAGTAAAGAAGTTTGTTGCTAAGTGTAAGCTGATGCTTCTTTACTTTAAAGAGATATGTAGGAAATGTGTGTGTTATCATATTCCAAGCCTAAAGGGCAGAATTGTGTTCCTGCCCATTGCAGGCGAAGAAGAAACAGCTGTTCCTTCTCTACTGCAAGTGCCTGCCATTTAGCACACAGGAAATTTTGGTAAATTAACCTCCATTGTCCCTCCTGGAAATCTGTTATTAGACAATGAGTAACAGAGATTGAAAAACATCAGGCAAGCCTTTGCAGATCAGGAGGACAACGTAACACAGGAAGAGAAACGCACGCGGTGAAGTGGAGCAGGAGGTAACGCTGTACTGCAGAGAGGCTAAAACTCTGAAAACGTGAGCTAATGTATAGGTACAGCACTTCACACCTTTCATGATACATTATGATAGATCTTCCCAATAAACTGTTAAGGGGGAAGGAAGGAACAGCGAGGTTTTTGATCAAATGTTTCTCTTCTCTAAACCTGAGTAGAGGTTTATAAGCTACTATAGCCACGCCTCCTGCAACAGCAAAGTAATGCATCGAAGTTTGTCCTGTAAGTTCAGCCTGCCTCTAACATAGCCTCCTCCTATACTTTCCTATTGAAACACATCATGAAACTCAAACACTAAGGAGAAAGGAAATAAAGTTTGTGTTATCACAAGAAGGGAGTGGCAGGCAAGCGCACAGCAGGTGTGTATTAGCCACACAAAGAGAAGTTCAAAAGAAAAAACCTTCCAAAAAAAAAAAACCCCAACCAACCTGAAACAAGCTACATAAACACACACCAGCCTTCCCGTGAGAAGCACAGCAACATGGCTCAAGAACAGAAAGAAAAAAGCAACGGCCACATTTTTCCTTAAATAAGGTCTGAAGACTCAACATGATGTAGAAGTGCATTGTGTTCTTGGTCAGAGGCAGCAGAAAACCATCTAACATTCAAGCAACAAGAGACAGGAATTTTAAAAGAAACTAGAGAGAAAAACTAAGCAGTTACAGTTCCGCTCTTCAGGGAAACCGTATTTCGCCTACGCCATTCAACTGGGAGCTGCTACCCAACATCAAAAACACAAAGCCCAAATCCCATGTAATGGTATAAGCCAGTAGGGACAGCACTGCAATTTAGATAAGCGCCTGGGATAGATAATATCCAGTATCTGGATGCTTCAGTGATAGTGTCTAAAACCAAAGAAATCAACCCAAAAACCAAGCTAAACCTAACCCAATCCTCTAGGATAAGCAGAGTTTATGTGATCTGGTTTTGAGTAACAAAAAATCCTTTATTAATCCAAAGGAATTTTAGAAGATAAAGGCAAGAGGAAGAATAAATGCCTTAGGACATTTATGCTAATAGCTATGAATCTTCTTTGATGTCTGCAGTAATAGCTTTCGGGGAATAACTTGCCCCTCCACCCAAATAAAATCATTCTCTAAGAGCATACAAACGTAGCAAACACAACGTTACACGGCAGCTTAGGAAATCTAAAAACATCAGGAAAAAACAAGAATAGCAAAATGTGAAACAATGAAGCGCGAGGACCACGTATTTGTAATATGTATTTGTGCCTTGTCGTTTAACATGTAATAATGAGAGAAAGCAAACCTAAAGGAGCACGATGTGTGCAGGAAAGTAGTATACAAGCTTGCAGAAATCTCAGATCTTCAAGTTTTCTCAAGTTTCTCCACATAATTTACTACGCTAGTACAAAGAAACACCAAATAATGTCTAAACAACACAAAACTTTCCATTTTTTAAATTTGTATTCTATTATAATGCAATGTATTAAACTCCCAGAGGCTAGACTTTCTAGCTTTTAGAATAAGAAGAGCCACTCTTTTTAAAAGAGTGTCATGTTTTCAAAAGCTGGACTTAATTTTGTTCTCTTAAAACTCCACCTAACTCCAGTGCAAGCACAGCGGTAAGAACAAGATATTCTACAGTAGGGATTAGACGGTAACAACAAAAAGTTTATCGTACTGCCTCATGACTTTGAAGCACAGTATAATTACTGCTTTCCCCCACAAAAAGGTTTTCAGATTTTTTACATACTTAGCGCTTCTGAAAGTGTTTTAAATTCTTTGTTTGATATATTTCCAACTGAAGGATGCTGTTATTTGATTGTTGAGGAGATGCCTGCGCATAAAGCGGTGTCTCCTCGTTCACACCGCTGCCCAGAGGGACTTAATGTTACGTGCAGGCCATCAGCTTTCATCACAAGAACAACGGCTGCCTCTACCCAACAGAATTAACATCTCCAGTTCAGAAGAGTTCATCATAACACAGGATGTTTTTTTCTGGCACAAAATGAAGAATCTTCTTTCCACAACTGTGGGCTGTATGCTGTGTCCAACAGAGAAAGGGTTACCTTTTTTTCCTTTCTTTACCTTCTTATTTTCTATTTGGAGATGGGGAAGGAGTTTATTTTTAAGGCAACTTCTCCAGCTTGCCAAAGAGCCCGATACAACCAGGAAACCTTTTTTAGATTAATTAGAAGGCAAAGGACCAAGTACTAACAGTGGTACTACAGCTACCATTCCCCAGTTCTAGGAAGGTGTGTATGTGTGCCCAGTCTTCTCCTGGCATCATCATATTTCTGAAATGAAAGCCAGTGGTAGCTGGCAGGGAAGAATAAGGCAGAGCAGCAACTGTTGCCACGGCCCTCTGGTTGGCACATAAAGTAAGCAGCTACTGGCAAAGCCTATTTACTCTTTGTATTTGTCCAACCATAAACAAGACACGGGTTTTTTGGAGCAGTTTTCCAAAACAAGTTTTGCCCTATATTCAGATAAATACAGTACGTACTTTGTTGTTCATTACAGCAGCTAAAAAAAATAAAAAATCCTATTTTAACTATGCTCACTAGCACACAGGTGTTCAAGTGTATACCTGTAGCACGCAGAAGAGGTCAGTCATGGTCTTACCAGTGAAAACAACCTGGCTACTTGCTGCAGACTGCATCAGTACAGCACACATCTAGATACACAGACGTAAGAGCAGAGCAACTAAAAACTGAAAGTCGTAATCTGAGGCCCCTGCGAATGGGATTTGAATGTCAACGGATGCCACTCCAGGCCTTGAGAAACGAGGCAGGTACAAAACCCAAACGCCTCCTAAAAGCAAAAATTCTTTTCCAAATGTTTAAGCTGTGGCTCAAGGTGTCCACAAGAACTGGACATCTAAATATTTACCTAATGACATAGTTAAGTAGCTCTGCATGGAGCAAGAGAACTCATTGGATGTGGCATCAGGAAAGGTATGTTCTCCTTTCAGTTCTGCTCAACTATATTTATATCATTTGTGTTTGGATCTGGCAAATTCTTCTTGTAGTAAATACAACTTCAGCAAACCCCAACATTCCTTCACGTGCAAAAACCCTTGAAAAAACCCCCAAGGTGCTGGACCACTCACTGTCCAGTACCTGTTACCTATGACACATTATGCAGAAAGGCAAAATGGTGGCTCTTCTCATTAACTGTGCTGCCAGTTTACAAGTTGAAAACTCAGGGACTAGTGTAAAACAAGCACCTTCTGGCCTTCAGCTCTAGCCAGGAAAGTGGTTTGGTGCAGCAGAACACTAAAGGGAACATCCGAAGCTTGATGGTTCCAGGCAGTTGGTAACATATTAATGCGTATTTCACAGTAAGACGTATAGGAATTAAAGGTGAGCTCACCTTACACAACATTCTACGGCACGAAACCAATGAAGGATTTCATCATGAAGGGTGCATAACTGAAGGCAGGAGAGAAATACCTTCTCAGCATCGCTGTACCAGCCTGCATCTGACAGGAATCCCCCTGGGGGAGGGGGGAAGGGGAAAAAAAATAAAAATCAAGAACAAGCAGAAATTTGAACAGCAAAACACCTTAAGAGAAAAAGGGTTTGCTCAAGTCTTCTAAGAAGACTATTTATATTTCATTACAAATAGAAATAAAGACAGGAATGCATTAGTTCAGTATTCCCCGTGCCAAAATACAGGAAGTCATTGCTGAACAACTTGAGAAAAAAAAAAAAGAGCGCAAAGGAAGCCTTTTTCTGTTTCACAAAACAGTTCTGACAAAATTTCATAGAACTGCATACTACGTATGGGAATCCTGTCAAGGTTAAACCTTCCAGTCCTGAATTGAAAAGGATGAAAAAAAGAGTAGAAGAATTCTCCTTCAGCTGAGGATGACTTTTTGGTATTACATAGTTTTCCTACAGTTTTCTGTCAAGAAATACTTACCAATGCTAAAATTATGCAGTCTTAACGTTAAGCATCACATCTGCAAACAAATTTTAAATCTAAAACATTTGAAATAGCAAAGATATGCCTATATATTCTTAGATATTAAAATCCAATATATTTTTCTTAAGACACCAAGTAGTTTTCTAAAAGTTACATTCCAAAACCACACATGTTCTTTAAAAACAAATCACAGGCATTAACATGAAGAAATCAGCATTAGCTAAACTGAAGCTTGCATGAAAGAAAGTATCGTACTTTAAACAGCCCATCATCACCAGTTACCTAAAACAAAACCAATCTGGATTGCTTTTTCTTTTACAGCAGAATCCGATTCTGCTATGTAGGAGCACCGTCTACTGAAAGAATAGGCCAGTACAGAAGCAACTTTTACTCCGTGGTCCATCAAAGCCTGAAAACAGTGATGAAGCAGATGTCTGAAACAAAAGAAAACAGAATTTGATTACACATGAAGTTTTTAAAACACTGCAGTCAGTTGGCTCTTGAGTGCCATGAATTCAAACGAGTAGCGATTCAGAGAAATAACTCCAACCCTCTCTCAAACCAAAACCAGATGAATACAAGCGTAATTGTCAATCTCGAGGCTAACGGATTACAGTTGTTGGATTATCCAACAAATAAAGTGAGTGTACACAAAGTTCTTTAGAAGGACACCCTCCAGTGTAAGCAAAACACAAGCTACCCACACAACATTAAAACTGGAGAACAATATTTTTAAGCTAAAACTTAGAGGGGCGGGAAGCCTCAAATCCACCCTTACCCCACAACTCCCATAGAAATTGCCGATAAGTGAGCAGCGACGACCCGTTATCATCACACACACGCAAACAATGGGAGGGAGGGATGTCTAAAGACTCAAAGCTTATTTTGGCTACACAGAATCTGATCTAAAAAAGTCAAGTTCCGAGCATAACACCACAAATTGGAATATTTTCTGACAGGAAAACTCTTTAAACTGGGGCGATCCTATCAGCATGATAACCCTTCGCTTAGGGTTTGCTACAACAGCACGAAACAGATACTTTGACTGCCACTGCTCAGGGACCGGCTGGGCATTGATTGATCGGTTGGTGGTGAGCAATGTGGGGGTTTGTACCACTTCTTTTTCTAGTTTGTGCTTTCCCCCCCCCCCCCCCGCCTCTTTGTTGTTTTCTTTTTCCTCTTTTTTCTAATTTTTAAATTGTCTTTATGTCAGCCCATGAGTTTTCACATTTTTACCCTTCCAATTCTCTCCCCCATCCCACTGGGTGGGTGAGTGAGCGAGAGGCTGTGTGGGGCTTGAGTGGCTGTGTGGGGCTTAGCTGCCTACCCGGCTTAAACCGCCACAACCGACTGCACAGCAATAACAAAGCAAGCACTTTGGGAACCAAGTACTTGGTACATTTACACAGATGTTATGAACGTTTTATTTTTTGAGACAGAAAGAAAGACATCGTAACTTAAAAGTTCATCTAGAAATCTAACGAGATATTCTTATGGTTATTAGACGGGCTAGTAAGACCAAGAAAATTAGACACATTTTCCAAATTCAAAACCTAGATCAAAAGGTAAGAGCTGAAGTGAGAATTATTGATATATTAAGACACTTACCTTTTATCTAAAGCTCGTAGCACCTTTGCAAAAACTTCTAGTTCACAAAATTCACTACCCAGCTGGCATAAGCGGCCCTGTTGGTAAAGCTGAAAGAAAAATATAAACACATTTTAAAATTTAAGACTGAATTCTTCTGGGGAATTTAGCTTAATAGCAAAGATGACTTATGATGAAGTCTAGACTTCAAAGTATTGAAATACAGCAGACTAAGAAGTAATAGTTCCACTATCTCTACACAGGAGCACAACTTTAGCATTTAAAAACTGAGCACACAAGCTATGAGAGCTCCATAGGTGGTTTCAAGAAAATACATTCGTAGGTAAAAATAGCAAGTGCCTACTATGTCCACCCGCATCATAAAACACTACAATACCTAAGCTAGAAAGCCAAGACAAACCCCCCAAAAATCCTAAAGTTAACAAAACCCACAATTAATAGCTTCTTCAATACCAAATGTGTTAAAAACATTTTTAAATGACACAGAATCTAGCACACAGCAGTGCAAATACATTTTATATTATATATAAATACACCCCAAGCCCACAAGTTCTGCAATGAGTCAATACCCAGAGACAGGCATGAGCCCTGACCCCATTAATACCTGAGCTTACACAAGTAATTCCTGCGTAAGTAAATGGGAAAACTCACGTGAATCTGTTCATGCATTTATTAAAAGCAATAGCTAGTTTTATGCCCAAACTGATTTGTGTCTGCAGATAAGCAAATATATCAGTTGACTTGTTCATAAAAAACAAACCACGGAGACAGTTCTTTATGCAATGCATAGCTAAGCTGCAGAACTATCTGCCACATTATGCTATAAATACTATGAATTTACATAGGTACAAAAGTGACTGTACAAATATATGGCAGAAAAATCCATTGTGGGCTACCAATTCCTGATATCTTGAAGCCCCTGAACCACAAATGACTGAAAGCAGGGTATGGGACCTAAGGAAACACCACGATACGCTTGCCATAGGCATATGTACCACCACCAGCCTCTGCTAGACGCACAGTACTGGATCACACAGGACTGCTGCAGTACAACCGGTTGTTATTTTAGGTGTTCTAGAAAAAACACAAACACACCCCCACCCTTTTTTAATAAAAAAAAAAAAAAAGAAATCTTTCTGCCAGGCAGTAACTCCACGGGGAAAAAGGGAGAAGGCAGTAGCTCATCTCTCTCGGGCACCTCTCTCTGGAAGCCGTATCTTTCAACACAGGCCATTCAAGATCCACCTCTGTTCTTTTGTGGTATCTGTGCTATGCGATGCAGGGATGGGAAAACTACCGTTTACCAGTAGACACAAACGAGATTATACACTGGACTTTCATGCCATCATGAGCACGCAGGTAAAGCACTGCTACGTTGCACTCAACAGTTATTCAGAAAACCTTAATTTCTAGTCCATATATTAAGACGTTCAAACATACGCTGTCCAAGATGGGCATATTCATACCTACAGCAAGCCCTCCGTGCTATCTACGCAGGTTTTACAGCTATGAGGAACTTTGGCACGAGGAGTGCAGCTACCCTTATTACGTAAGCAAAAGTAAGGCTGAGAGCACACATTAGAGATGCTCAATTACAAGCACAGATTTGATGAAAATTTTCATATTCCTCTCAATTTTAATATTTTCTTTAAAACCTTTTATTGATAAGCGTCTTGTGTCTGCTTCACCTTTTCCTCCACAAACACTGGAAGCAGATGAATTAGTATTCAAAACAGCACGTGAGAACATCCCCTCCAGCCAGAAATTTAGTTTTAGTCAACTCTTCTTATAAAAGCACGACACAAATTCTACATCACAGCAAGTTGGTTATTTTAACAACAGAACCTACAAAAAAACCTTCAAAAACATTTTGACCTCGTAACGTCAATTGCCAGAAATTAATGCTTTCCTTTTAGTCATCTATTTCGCTGAGGAAAAAAAGGAACTCTTAAAAACCAGTGCAAGTTTGCACGCAAAGTTCCTCCTCAGATAAAATAGTGCTGTGTCCCTGTACTTCAAAGAGATCAGAGTTTCTTCTGAAGCTATATTCTCTCTGGCAGTGAAAGAACATCCAGCCCGGTGTACTTAAAAACTACAGTCATGGTTAAGTGTTCTCATTTTCTTCAACACAGCTGTCTAATGGTAACTGTTCTATAAAATCTAAAACATATTTTCCACAATCAAAAAAGAGGATTAAATCTCACCTAGCATTCCAGGCCCAAAACTGAAGGCAGACATCTTATCAATAATTGATAAGATAATTTCTGGACAAAACTAAGACATATACCCAAGCTATTTTACCAAGACTTAAAACAATCAAAAGTACTATCGCATGTTCGACATTTAGGCTTTCAACCAAGTCCATTATCATTTCCCCTTATCACCTCGCAGTGCTAACTAAAAATCCCAGAGATTACTCTGATCCTAGTTTACCAAATACTAACTGTAGTAAAACTTTAAAAAATTAATATATTTATGAAGTTACATAAACACATGTCGTAATACGCCCACGGTTACATGTGATTCTTAAATTCCTAATAAATAAATGCCCTGGTGGTGGTGGGGTGGGCGGGTCCCAAACTACACCCTCAATTTTGATACATCAATTATTTCAGGCACATGTAAAATTTGGTTTATGGCCCAAAGGTCCAAGCCTGCTATCTGCACATCTCTCATGCCAATTCAAAGGTAAACACTTGCACCATTCTGGCATGCAAAAAAACCCCAACCTATTTTTCACTGGTATAACCAGAAATACGGTATCCTTGGAACGTTTACCACACTATTCACCCTTCCCTCAACATACTGGCAAACATTTTTAAGGAACTAACTCAGCTTGAAGTCTCTTGAAACTCTTGTAGCTGTTACAGCAATATTTTCAAACAAAATTTGACATGGAAATAGTGAGTGAGTATAAGTCAAACTGTGAAGCAATTCCAGGAGATTCAGTAACACTCATTTGTCCATTAAGAAGCAGTTGCAAGCACTGAAGAAATGGTTCTCTTGTTAAAGCTCCAGAAAGACAAAATTCCTGACCACAAGCTTTGCTACATAACACAAAAAAACCAAAACAAAATAGCGATTCAAGAAAAACATGCCCTGACAAGAATGGCAGAGGTTTGGACTTCTGAAGAACTATTCTTTTCTTAAGAAACAAATGTCTTTTAGACACAAACTTAACCTATTTGGAGCTTAAGAGATACTTATTTTTCTTTAACTATAGAAAAATGAATAAAAGCCTACAGTGTTACTTCCAACTTCATCAGCTCACATGGACGCATTAATTCTGGCACTGAAGACACGAGCCAAGGTGTAAGTTTAATATCTAGATGTATTACCACACACATGCACAATCAAACTGTTTTGCATAGCTGTGAGACAATCGCCATGATCCTCCTTCAGGATCTAAGGCTTAATATTTAACTCGTAACGCATCCACCTAAACATTCAAAAGCTGCATATAGTGGTGTCCCCAATTAAACATCTGAATAATGTTAACTTGTAATTTATCTATATTATATCATCATGCACATGTAATTCTATTAAAGTTCTTGTCAGATTTCTCTCTCTGGATAGATGAGAGATACTTCCTACAAACCCCTGGAAAGAAAGACAAAGTTATGTTAAACTGCTAGCAAAAGCAAAGCCGTAACACAAGAGAAAAAGCTATACGGTATTTGTGTCACCAACACTCTGGGCTGTTTCACTACGTACAGGCACAAGAGAAAATTTTTTTCTAAACCTAATGAAAAAAATAATAAAAATGAAAAAAACCCAACAAAAAAACCATTTTAAAGCAGCTGGAGATTAATTCTAACCAGTTGTAAAAGGACCCTCTAGAAGAGGGACTGTAGCATACGCAACTTGAAAAATATGCTCCTATTGCTCCAGTTTGGAAGAGGACTGAAAAATAAATATGGATATTTCAGTAAGAAGTAAAGATACAAGAAATTCTAAGAAGCTCCCCAGCATGTTTAGTAATGTCTAATAATGTAATGTGGAATATCATGCCAAATTTGGGAAGGACTGTATGCTTAATCAACAAACATCAGTATTTGGGAAAAAAGGTTGGCTGTAACCACAATCTTCCTTCCCTACTTAACAAGGAAGGAAAAAGTTTCTTGAGAGTCAACAGTGCACTGAATCAATCTGTTGACAAATGACTCAGAGGGAGCTGCCTTAGAAAATAATCAGTTAGAAATGTAAGTACATTCGATTCTTTTAAATCAATTTCAAAACCATCTACAAAGCCTCTGGACAAGCACTAGTTCTATTGGATATTGTCTAGGGCATTAAAAAAAGCCAACTTTACAGCTCTTCTTTGAAAACATACTACCAATTATGAAGCTGATCTTTATGAACCTCAATCAAATAAGTAACCAAGAAAAAAACACCCCAGCCTTATTGAATAAGCCTAACTTCAGAGACAACTTTTGGAGCCTACTGCTTTCACACACAGCACGCTTCTCCACATCTTCCCGCTCACTCCTCTTTCTGTACCGTATCAGCAGTTTTTTGTTTCACATCTACACAGAGTCCAGCACAAGGGATACAAAGTCAGAGCCTTACAGTCACACACATGTATGATTCTCCGCAGCAGTAAGTGGAGAAACCCAGTTTGCTTTGAAGTTAAATCAGTACAAAGGAAATGAAGTGGAAATAGGAATTATTGCTTCAGCCAGGAGCTAAACACCTCTGTTCATGATTAGAGCTCATCATAATTCAGATAATGAGCTCACGTGTCTAAGACTCAACAAGGATACCGAAAAAAATAGGGAAGCTACAGCATATCAGGATCAGAAAACACGCCCTATAGTTAGAGGTTCAAAAAAAAAAAGCAAACTGAGTAATACAAGTTAGAAGAATGGTAAGCAACGGCAAGAAGTTTCAAACCAGTAAAGACATAACAAGGGAAGATGGTTCAGTTCTAGTCTAAATTTAGACTATAGAAATAAGGCACGTGTTAAAATAAAGAGTAATAATAATTGGAAAAAAACTAATGAAGTAATGATTCTCCTTCACTGTGAGGCTTTAATTTAAAAAGAGGGCGATACAAGGATACAATTTAATTCAAGCAGTGTTCAGTGAAGTCCTACTGCACACGCTACTCTGGAAGCCGAACCAGATGATCAGCATGGTGGTACATGTGTGTTTGCACACATGCAGAAGTCATGATCGTTTCCCACACATACATTTAATTTCTGACCCCCAAAAATACAGCAGGATGAATGTAATTAAGTCTTTGTGAAGTCACGCTGATCGGTCACAGCAGAAGTCCTACAAAATATGACCCGTTTGCTCTGGGATTTTTTGCCTCCCTCATACATTGCTTGCTTATGACCTCATTTGTACTCCTCTGGTCAGAAAACCTCTGAACTAAAGCAGCACAGCTATACTTCATTTCATGGGTAGTTTATCCTCTTCACTCTCGTCAACTACCCAGGAGACTGAAGACCTGGGACAAGCTAGTTTTATTCTAATCTTATAGAGGTTATGCTTACAATCATTCTTCATCAGTAAAAACAATCTCTACTGCAATGCAGAGAATGGATGTTCTATTGCTTGTTGTGAACAGTCAGCAAATTCCTGTTTATTCATTTTGTTTGGTTCAAAGAATACCTAGATGCGATACAAGAGCTTTTATTAGCCATGCTTGTTCTTTTTTGGATTAGCAGAATACAGTGAGGAGACATGATACTGCAGCTACACTCATTATTATAGAAGTTGGAGCTATCAGGATCTAAACTCAAAATCTGGTATTTTTATTCACATCAAGCTAGGAGCACTTCAGAAGTTTTATCTACCACTTCAAGGAGAAAGCATGATTATAGCCTTCTGGGTTTTACCTAAAAATTTTAATGCAAAACAAGTCAGCATAGTGCTATTACTAAAGGTTACAAGTCTGCACTAACTAACTAAAACAAATTAATGTCATCTCCAATTGTTCCTGTGGTTAATGATCTCATCAGAAAACATTCAAAGAACATTGGACCCAAATGATTTTCAAGAAAAAAATCAATGTAAAAAAAAGAAAAACACACAATCCAGAAAAGACATTCCAAGAGGAAAATAAACATTGGATGAAACTCCTTGTTAGCCAATACATGTCCAAGATCAGCCTGCTAGTGCGTAACTGCAACAAATACCTATGACAGAGAACACTAAAACTAATGAAGCAGTATCTCTTCAAAAGCACCATGAGAACCAAAGAAATGAGATAAGTACACATAACAGAATATAAAGCCGAGGCACGGGGGAACAAACTGAATTCCTTATAAGACACTAACCAAACAGTCATCGGACTGAATAGTTCAGTATCTTGTTTCTGTCAATAGAAACTAGACTCTTTACATTAACTCCCTCCCTCAAAACGCTATCCTCTCCCCAACAAACTACAAAATATAATAATTTGATTTTCCTCATTTTGAGTTTTTTTGAGGACTTACAGTTTATTCCAGTTGTCACCTACTTTTTAATACAGAATTTTGGCATTTGCAAATGCTGCCTACCTGCCAGGCACGTCCTATTTTAACTGAGATCTAGCATATTTCTTTCTTTGGCTTCTAAAAACTAGACACCCTCTCTCTTCCCCCCAAAAAAAACCAAGAAAGAGAACCTAACTAGTTTTACTAGGATGCAACACAACCAGGATATGCATAAACCTGGCAAAGACACAAAGGAAACAAAACACGATATGTTTGCACATTCCCCCCCTGCCCCATGCAGGTGTTACTTGTAACAATACTAGTTATTTAGCTCTTCCAAATACAGCTGTGATTAATAAGACATTTAAATATTTTTTAGCACAAATGTAGACTTCAAAATTTCCAGGATATCCTCACAAGCATTCTGCTCTGCCTCTATTATTTTTTCTAATGGCTGCAAGGAAAAGTCAAATGCCGCTTGAAAAAAAATCCAGTAACACCCTGCTGGACCAGTATAGGTTTGTTCTTTTACTGCAGTCATGATTATTTGATATTGCCTTTTTTTAAGCTTTAGTCACTGTTTAAGAATGGTACAGAAAGATAAATATGCTTAGTATTAGGAACCTGCCTGCTTCTGTCACCTTGCAGCAGAACCGATTGCTTACTGAGCTCACAACAAAGAACATTCTGCAACTATCCCAGTTTTGATTCCTGATCGTTAACTGCAAATGCAGAGGTTTATAAGGCATGTCCTAGAAGTTAACAGTTCTGGAATATGTAGAATTAAAAGTAATTGGATTTGTTAAGGAATGGGAAATAAAGGCAATATATTATAACAATAGAGCCTAACACTGGATTAGAGGGTACCCTGGGGAAAAAACAAAGACCAAGACAGTCTGCTAGCATTTTCCTCCCTTTTAAATAACAGCACATTGACTATCTCTGCTGTTGTACTGTACCCTACCTGTGTCTTCTTAATCAACATGAACAGGCTGGCAAACTGTGCAAGATTGGCAAATGTTAAGTTCGAGTGTTCATACCAAAGAATATGATAAAAAAAGTTTTGTACGGCCACAGCCAATTAACATCTGTGTATCAAAATAAAATCTGACTGATACTACCTTTTATTTTTTGCAAAACTGGTGGCAGTTTCTCCAATATCACAAACCATGATTAGTACCTGGATAATAAACCATTACTTACAAGTTATATGTGAAAGACTGGAAACATTGTTATTCCTTTTAATAATCAAAGAAAGAAAGTGATTCTCTATATTTTTCAAGGTCTAAATGCAAGTATATTCATGCAAATCCTCAATTACACATCACTTTTCCCCAGCTGTATTTAAAGAATAAGTACTATTCCATATGATACTAACAACTAACTAACACCCCCTCAACACAGCAGCAACAACCACCACCATGTAGTCAGAACGAAGATTTCAAAGTCTTCTAGTTTGTCTTACTTTAAAGACTGTTAGTTACTTTGGAAATTCTACTTCTGCTTTAAAGAACTTGATGGTCAGGATGTACTGAACATAGCTCACCAACCTGAAATGATATTTAATATCCACGAGATTTTGAAAATAACTGTATCCAGAACCAAAACAGTAAAACAAGCACCATACACAACATGAGAGGACTGCCCAAAGGCGCGATGCTGTCCTCATTCTAACCTAATTCAGCTCTGTCACTTGTATTGCCGTAGCCATCCAAATATAGAAATCAAGAACCAGTTACTAAGTGTTGTATAGGTGCATAGAAAAATGCAAACACTGTTCCAAAAGACCTGTAATCTGGGCTAGGCTTCCAGGCACTCATTGCAGGCATGCATCTCTGCATCTAGAACACCATTTAGTAAGGGCTACAGATTTCCTTTCAGCATCCCATCCAAGGTTTAGTTACATTTATGTATAAGCTAATTTGAATGCGACTATTAAAGAGGATAGGTTCTCCTACACAAAAAAGATATAAAAAAACCCAAGTAGTGAAGACATGGAAGACTAGTCTACCATTGGCAGCAATGGGAAAGCACTCGCTGCACCGTGTAGCCTAGTTTCATTTATTCTGTATGTGGACACCTCATAGATGTGTACTTGTAAGAGGAATATAGGTGCACCTTACACATTTCAGATCAAAGATTGTCCTGTTGTAAGCCACAGAAAAAACAGGAAAAGCAATTACTGTCATTAACAAAAGTTATACTGGCTAGTGATTAGTACAACAGAAATTATTTTGAGGACAAGTACTGAGCATGTTTATTATCATCTGCCCAACAAGACGACATATCAATGTACACAAACAGAACAAACAGATTAGAAAGTCTTTTCACAAGTCAGATATACCGCTGGTTCTTTTTTCATTATGGAAGAACTCCATATGAATCTGATTCAATGCAACCAGTGAAGCGTGCTAATAAAAGGATAAGAAGTCAATGGTCTATTAAGCTCACGTACAGATTAGTTTTTAAACAATCTGGGAATAATACACACTTGGATATTTCTATCATTAGAAGGAAGTTTTGGGTTTATGCTTTTAAAAGCCACAGAGTACCATCCTTTCATCTCAATGAACATCAGGACAGGCAATGCCAAGAAAGTTTATTTGTCAATGGTCATACCTACTAACAGTTAAAAACAAACCCCAAGATGTTCTTCCACATTGTTAGTTCCATGTCTTTATCTGATGACTGCCATATGTCAACCACATCATTATCTGTGAGCACGCTCATATGTGGCAGAAAGGGGTTTCCATATTTCTCAACACATAAGGCAGACAAGTAATAGCTAGTAATACAGAAAATGTACATGCCTGTTTCGACGCTGTAGAAACAATTTCCCTGTCTCTAGCGAAGATCAGCCTTCCTTATAAATACTATTACTCTACATATATGATGGGCCACTACTCCTGGTTCGTAAAGATTCATCTAAAGAATTGCTTCATTTAGCACATCCTAGATTTTTAGAAATTTACCGGCAGAGGAAAGAAGGGTTATCCCCCATCTTAGTTTCTGGTGGGTTTTTTTTGTTGTTGTTTTTACACATTGTTTCTCCCCTGATGAATGCTCACTTCCAGCCGTTCCTGTACATGGATGAAATGCCTATTTAGTGGACAATAGAAATTAATGGAGCATCTCAGTGTACCTTTTACTCTAACTCTGGATATTTTAGAGGCAGCTGAATGAGAAACAGCCCTTTCATGAAAGAATGATTTAAGGCTAATAAACTATATCATTAAATGAGTCTCAATTCTTTTCATCTGGTTCCTACCAGACCATTAAAGAAGACAGAAGAGCATGGCAAACTCCACTCCTTCTACCACTGACATCACCTTCTCCAATACATTAAAAAAA